AGTACTCAATACCGATGGGGCCCGACTCTTATGCTGGCGAACTTGTTATTTTATCTTAGGGGAACCGCTATGTTGAACCTGTTCGGAAAGCCGATTGGAAGAAAAATGGCCGCGAACAAAATGCTCGCGTCTTGGGCGCAGACCTCGACCGAGTCTTACGCCTCCTATATAGAAGATGTGTTATCGTTGTGTTGCAAAGCCAATGCCGAGATGCCGGAGGCTGACAAGTTTGGACATAATCTTAAGGGGATTGCGGATGACGCATTCAAGCTCCTCATCTGCAAAAATTTTTCTACAGTGGACGCCGTTATAAAAGAATGTCGGCGCTTAGAGCAAGCGAAAAGCCGGCGGATTAACAGCGTGTTTACCCGCCTTCCGAATACGGCTGCAACGTCATCTTGCGAAGACCGTGCAAGAACACAGCCTCCACCTCTAGATTCATCTGATCAGGTGACCCTAATTGTACGACGCGAACTTGAAGCCATTGACTCTGTTCCGGTTCACACCGCTGCAAGTGACACGACCCCACTCACTGCTAACACGGTTCAAGCCATCATCCGCCAAGAACTCGCCAGCATAGGTATTCTCTCGGTGTGTGCTTCGCCCAGCCCGCAGCGAGCTCCATGGCGTCCACCCTCGTCCTATCACGAGCAGCAGTTTACGACCCGATCTCGCGACTCTGCTGCGTGGAGAACCGTCGACAATCGACCAATTTGTTTTCATTGCCACCGTATTGGTCATGTTGTCCGTTACTGCAATTACCGCTGGTCCTCGCCACGTCGGACTTCATCTCAACATCACTACCAACAGGACAGCACCCGCTTCGCATCTGCCGCGCAGCCTTCTCCGCCAAACAACTACAGAAAGTTCAACAGCCGATCTCCGTCACCGCATGGTCGTCAGTCGCGTTCGCCTCCAGGACGTCGCCAATCGTCTCGCTCACCGCAGACTCGCAGGCCGTCGTCCCCATTCAACCCCGCTCCTACATACCCGGAAAACTGAACGGTGCAGCGCCCGGAGGTGACGCTGCATTTTCGACTCCCTCCACAAGTTCTCTCTTGACGCTTCCGACGAGACAAAATTTGTTAGACGTTGACGGTGTGGCTATTTCTCCCTTATAGATACTGAATCACACATTTCTGTAATGAGCGCAAACCTTCCCCGACGCCTACATAAAGTGCTCACGCCTGCCGCTTCCCGCACACTTCGTGTCGCTGATGGGAGGACCCCTGACGTTTAAGGGATGTGCACGGCCCGTGTGTCCATTGCCGGTCATCCTACATTAGTTCAGTTTGCCGTCATTGAAATGTGCCCTCATGACCTAATACTTGGTTTGGACTTCCTGTCACGTCATTCTGCGCTCATTGATTGTGCCACTGGTGCTCTTCAGCTTAAACTGCCGCAGTTTGCCGATTTTCCAGCTGACTATTCTCTCCGTTTATGCTCTCGTCACCACATTCGCTTGCCTCCGCAAGCTGCTACATATGTCACTTTGTCGTGCTCACGTCATGTGCCCGATGGCCACTACCTCGTCACTTCTATAGTCGACGTACTGTTGGCCCGAGACGTCGCCCTTGCTCACATTGTTGTCGCCGTCGCTAATAATACAGTGGTTATACCACTACTCTACGTGAGTCTCTTGACTCAAGTAATTCTGGAAGACTTTTCTTTGGCCACCCTATCTCCACTTGACAGCTGCAACGTTATTGGTTTGGACACCGATACTACATCCCCCTGTCTTGGCCGCAATTACACTCTGCCTGCAGATGACATTAACAAGATGATTGCTCCTGACCTCACTGCAGCGCAAGCTGTCAGCCTCCGTAGTCTGCTAACATCATATAGAGACGTTTTCGACTTTGACCACCGCCCTCTCAGCCAAACAACTGCAGTGACTCACCGGATCAACACTCGTGATGCCAGTCCTATACGGCGGCATCCATATCGCGCATCTCATAAGGAACGCCAAGTAATTCAGAATGAAGTGGGCAAAATGATTACTAAAGACGTACTAGAACCATCATCCAGCCCGTGGGCTTCTTCAGTCGTGCTCGTTGAGAAGAAGAATGGCAGCTAGCGCTTTTGCGCGGACTATGGCCATTTAAACAAAGTGACGCACAAAGATGTCTACCCTTTGCCTCGGATTGATGACGTCCTCGATTGCCTCCATGGTGCTCAATACTTTTCGTCTATTGACCTTCGGTCCGGCTATTGGCAAATTTCCGTCGGCCCCAAGAATCGTGAAAAAACCGCTTTCGTTACGCCCGACTGCCTCTACCAGTTCAATGTCATGCCGTTTGGACTTTGTAATGCGCCGGCAACTTTCGAGCGCATGATGGACTCCCTTCTCCAAGTGGCACATCTGCTTATGTTACTTGGACGATGTCATCGTCTTTTCACCTACCTTTGAAAGCCATATAACACGTCTGTCAGCCGTTCTGAATGTTTTTCGAAGAGCTGCTCTCCAGCTCAATTCTGCGAAATGCCATTTCGGACGTCGCCAAATCACCATACTCGGCCACTTTGTCAGTGCCGATAGTGTTCAACCAGATCCCGAAAAGGTGCGAGCAGTACAACAATTTACTGAACCACGCTCAATCAAGGACGTCCGAAGTTTTGTAGGGCTATGTTCTTATTTTCATCGATTTGTCCGCAACTTCGCCGACATCGCTCGACCGCTTACTGATCTCTTAAAGAAGGATGTTTCCTTCGCATGGGGCATAGAGCAAGTGGACGCCTTTCCGGCTGTTAACCATCTGCTGACTACGCCACCAATACTGGCCCATATCGGCCCTGCATTACCTACAGAGCTTCGGACCAATGCCAGTGGCCATGGAATTGGAGCGGTCCTTGGCCAACGACAGTACGGGAAGGACCGCGTGATTGCTTATGCCAGTCGTCTTCTTTCACCTGCCGAACGGAAGTTCTCCATCACTGAGCGTGAATGCGTAGCTTTAGTGTGGGCCATGGCGAAATTCAGGCCTTACCTGTATGGCCGAACTTTTTTCGTTGTTACGGACCATCACGCTCTTTGCTAGCTGTCATCGCTAAAGGACCCACCTGGACGTCTCGGTCGCTGGGCGCTCCGTCTGCAAGAATACTCGTTCGTGGTCCACTACAAGTCGGGACGCCTGCACACAGACGCAGACTGTTTGTCACGTTATCCGGTTGAAACGCCCGACTTGACAGACCTTGATTCAGACCCTTGCGTTCTCTCCCTCCACGCTTTGGCTGATATCTCTACCGAACAACGACGTGACCCGTCGTTAGTATCCATCATCGAGCGTCTGACCTCTGCTTCAATAGACCCTTCCGTTCGCCTGTTCAAACTCCACGACAGCATTCTGTACCGTCGCAGCTTTAACGCTGATGGCCCGGAATTACTACTCGCGCTTCCCCATCACCTGCGTACCAGCGTTCTCGAACAACTACATGACGTACCTACAGCCGGTCACCTAGGCGTCTCTCATACCTACGATCGTGTGCGACGTCGCTTTTTCTGGCCCGTACTGTATCGTTCTGTGGTTCGCTACGTCACTGCTTGCGACCGCTGCCAACGCCGCAAGCGCCCCTCTGTGCTACCGCCTGGCCTCCTACAGCCCATTGACATACCAACGGAACCATTCTTCCGTGTTGGCCTTGACCTGTTGGGCCCATTTCCTACGTCCACGTCCGGAAATAAATGGGTTGCAGTCGCCACAGACTACGCCACACGCTTTGCCATCACTAAAGCACTGCCGACAAGCTGTTCCACTGTTGCGCTGACTTTCTCCTGTATGAAATCATTCTCCATCATGGCGCTCTGCGGCAGCTGCTTACTGATCGAGGAAAGTATTTTCTTTCACGTGTTGTGGATGACATTCTCAGCGCCTGCTCCACTGAGCATAAGCTTATCACCGCTTATCATCCACAGGCAAATGGATTGACCGAGCGTATGAACCGAACGCTGACGCAGATGCTGTTAATGTACGTTTCGCAGGATCACTGTGACTGGGACAAAGCGCTCTCCTTTGTCACGTTCGCGTACAATTCTTCACTGCACGACACAGCTAGTTATTCACCGTTTTATTTGCTATTTGGCCGACATCCAGCATTACCATTCGACACGCTCCTTCCTTCGGCTGCCACCTTGTCTACTGAGTACGCCAGCGATGTCGTTTCTCGAGCCCATGCAGCCCACCAGCTTGCCCGTGATCGGCTGCACTTGTCGCAAGCGCACCAAAAAGACCGCTATGACAGTCGCCACCAAAGCGTGAACTTCTCACCGGAGTCTCTGGTACTTCTTTGGACACCAAACCGCCAAGTCGGCTTATCAGAGAAGCTACTATCACACTACAATGGCCCCTACAAAGTGTTACGACAACTTAGTGACGTGAGCTACGAGATCGCACCCCTAAACAATACCTCTTCGACCCCCTCACTCCATACAGACGTTGTACACGTTGCCGGACTCAAACCGTATCCCCCTCCTCGTTCGTCGCCGCTGTACTAAGCGCCTTGACGGCGCTTACGCCGCAGGGGAGTGATGTTACGGCGCATCATCGACAGGAGCAAGCGTGGCACTTTGCGAAGATGTAGAAGACGTCTGTGTGTTAGGCGCTTGCGCCACAGGCAACTCAGACATCTTGTTCGGCTGCCGATTCTCGGTGGACGCTATCCTATAAGCCTAGACCTCGCCCTGTCACAATATTTTTCAATAAATCACCTAATTGTATATTATGCTGATCTTTGATTGTGTTCATTTGTAAAACGCTATTGTTTATTTGTAAAATGCTACTAATTATTTGTGAAATTCTGCACTAACTTTCTAGTTTTACTTTTGCTGTATTCTGTACTTTGTGTTGCTGTATGCCTGAAATATGATGGTATTTCATTCCTAATAAATCCCCCGCCTATGTAACGACCTCCGGGCCTTTAGGGTGTCCAAATAAATAAATAAATAAATAAATAAATAAATAAATAAATAAATAAATAAATAAATAAATAAATAAATAAAATACCTTTGCAGCCTCACTTCGGTAAAATTACTGCCAGGCTGCTGGAAAAGAAAAAAAATTGAAGTAGCATGGCTTGTTGTATGGATTAGAAATATCTCAAATTATACACAGGGTAATACCAAGACGACGTCAATTACTATTTATTTACAAGCAAAATTTTAAAGTAGTTAGGTGGGAAAATATGCGGGAAAGCACGGAGGCTAAATGGTGGTTGGTAATTCATGAATATTTATGAGGAATGAAGAGCTATTGTTAGTAACTAATCAGGCGTTAGATCGTCGGACTTTTCTTGAGTTTCAGAAAAGACCAGCCTCACTGCGGAGGGCGTGGTGCTCTTACCGTAGCAGGCATAAGTATCGGCGCATACTTTAGGGCAGGGTTGCCACTGGTGGCTGGCTACTTTTCACCATAGTGGCTAATTTGAGAGGCCCGTGGTGACATAAAATCCATGACTCGTGGCATGGTGAATTTCTGGCAATTTTTAGCTTAGGTCACGACTGGCTTGGACATTTTACACTCAGTGTCTTCAAAACCAAAAGGCGACAAGATTTTTGCTACTTTTCTTGATTTTCCACTTACTAGTAGAAGGCTATTTTTACGCGCAATTTAGTTGGTCTGTCCTGTTTCTCGTGTATATCTCCTAATTCACCCACATTTTGGAGGCACTAGCGCAGTGTTGTTTCCACCAGCATCCTCCTAGCAAAATTTAGGTTAGTAGACTGCTTCACATATCTCGTGTTAGCGGGAGTACTACATTCTTTAGTTGCATGCTTTAAAAGTTTTAAGCTTCTTCAATGTTACACTTCTGAAGTGGCTATATGGCAGTTAAGCCACGCGTTCCTAATAAAATTTGACCTTTCGTGAATACCTTGTCGACTTCTTCATTACTTTTGTACCCTGTAGTTTGGTATGTTGAGTTTAATTTTGTTACTAACATACAATTTGAGTAGGCCAAGTACTTGGGCTTCTTTGAGCAGCCTCCAGAAACTACAGCGAAATGAATGTATAGCGTAAGTATGACAAGACCGAAAGCCTAGTGTAGGCATGGCGGTAGCTACGCAGCACTTTCGAATATATTTCCGTTGCTTTGTGATTAAGTTTTCTGTTAACGGACTCATGATCACGCTGCAGGGGAATTCTCTAAATGTGCAAAAAGGGTACGAACGGTTCCTCTCTAGTTGTAGCGAGTGGTTCAACCTGTGTTCCGTGCAACTAAAACCGCAGACTTTTGTTATCATGCATAAGCACTCAGTGACGCTGCTATTGCTTGCATGCCCTTGCACAGTGATCCCATGGGGAAGCGGGTTATGTGACTGGCACAAGGAGGATTAAGAATTCTCCTTGAAGTAGCATAGAAAAGCGTCTTCATAACTTAATGTTTATAGATGCTACATTATTCCACAGGCCTCTACATATTTTGAAATTTTCACCACTACACACACTACAAATATGCAGAATGGCAACTTTTTTGGCAAAATTTGGAAAGAAATAGCGACTTTGGCAATATCTAGCTTATTCTGTTGCGATTTCCTCTCGAAAGTCAGTGAAAAACCTTCATAGGGTGCCCCAGATTCAGTGAATCTTTCGCACAATTTTAGCCAAGCTTTCAAAATATGCTGATGCACTCTATAGTAACGCAGAGGAACCTATGTCGCTGAATATTGCCTAAAAAGGCATTCTAGCTGTTGTACACTGTTTTATTTTTAACAAGTTCCGTATAATGATACCTCTCTTGAAGTAAACAAACTAGGAAACAATGCTGAATGGGGATATGTAAGTCGGTTTTAGCAAAGTCTCATTGAAGATTTTCTACTTCCAATAAAAGTGGTACGGTATTATTTCTGTGATTCAAAGGTCGCAAAGTGCAATTCTACTTATGGCCGCCACATTTAAATGCAGCCAAACCACGTTAGGCCCATGCACTCAATTTGGGTTCATGTTACGGAACATTACGTGTTCAACAACTCTGGAGCCCACTGCTATGGCGTCCCTACCTGAAAGAACACCAACAAAATATCTTTATCATCTGGTGTAACAAGTATTACTTGTTTCAAATTACTACAGGGCACCCATGAAATGAAAAAAAAGCACCATGCCTGATAAGACGCCTACGTGTGCAGGGGTCACCACTATCCGTAAGGTACTGCTTGCTAAATATCGCTGCATTTGGTGTGACATGGTAGATACAACAAAAGTGGTTGTGCTATGGCGCACCAAGTATTTGCGGCACTACGAACAATAAGCGCTTCATCTGCTTATAACTGCAATGAACCATTGCGAGGAAAATATAGTTTTTATGTGGAACGTTAGGAGGCACTGAAATTGGTTCTCCTGTGAGTTTATTACGTGGCATAATATTGTGCGGTCGAAGGTGTCTATAGCTAGCAGAAAAACGCTAAAATCAGTTATTATACCTTCATGACTTAATTTTTTATATCTGACAAACTGATCTATCCTGACTGAAATCGTTTGCCCGGCTGGATAGGTTTAAAAGCTTTTTAATTGAGGTTTTAAAGTTAATGAATTCAAGAGAACAGAAATACGTTAGTTCGGTAAGTCATCAGCAACATGCAATTGGTCACGTTATAGATTGCATTGCTGTGCTTTAAAACTTCACCTAGATTAACCTACGGCACCCAGCAGCATTCATGGCGTGTAGTGAACAAGATGAGTGCTGTTAATCAGCCCACGTCTGCTCAGCGGTTGAGGCACTGCGTAGAATCCTCAGGCACCATGTCAGACACGTGCATTTTTTTCAATGACACATATTAGACAAAGGCACCACCACTACAAAGTCCTGTTCTACGAAATTACACCGCATTTAACAGCTACGTCGCTCTGAACCAACATTTGCAAATGAATTTTCAAAAAAATTCACTCATATCTGGTAGTGCAGTGGCACATGTAGTGATGTTACTCTTTGAACAGCTCTTTTTTATCCCCTGCACTAATTTTTCACTGCGCGACAGCCACATACAGACAGTAGCAACCAATTTTCTGTGAAATCAAGGTCAAGGAGTCGAAGAAAGCAGAGTGATTCAGCGCAGTGGTTGTTCTAGTATTGAAACCATCTACAACTTGAGACATAGCCTCCTCGCTGAGCAGAAAGGTCCCCGTCGGGTCCGTAACCTCACGTTTACATTATTCGAGAGTTTTAATTTCTAATTACGAATTCTAAAGGGAAGCTAGAGAACCTAAAAATATATATAATAATTAATAATCAATATTAAACTGTTTTTTGGGGTGACCTGTGCCCAGTAAACGAAAGTCAGATTACAGGGGAAGTCTTGCACTGATAGCGGCGAAGAGTGTCGGCGTTTATACCATTGTCATCAAATATTCTGGCGTTATAGCAAGGGGCGACGTACGTTTCCGAAGTGGGTGTAATCTTAACAAAAGAATCTACTATGGCCTCTAAGCTTCTCGAACATCGTACGCGTGGTTTGCACTGAACGAAGTGTAACGGGGTAATAAAAAACTTGAGGAAAGGAGCATGGCATTGCTCCCCTCTGAAAAAAAAGCATCGCCCCAATGCTTTAACAAAAGACAAAGGTACAATATAAACACAATAAACAATATTTACAGCAACAGTAACAAAATGCAGTCTTCAGGTTCGCGCAAGAAACGATGATTTGATTGATGTGTGGGGTTTAACGTCCCAAAACCACTATATGATTATGAGAGACGCCACAGTGGAGGACTCCAGAAATTTTAACCACCTGGGCTTCTTTAACGTGCACACAAATCTGAGCACATGGGCCTACAACATTTCCGTCTCTATCGGAAATGAAGCCACCGCAGCCGAAATTCGATCCCGCGACCTGCGGGTGAGCAGCCGAGTACCTTAGCCACTAGACTACCCCGTCGAGGCTTGTGCAAGAAACGGCTTGAGTCGCATGACATGGACGAATTCAGGTCGAGCACGGCGTCATTGAGAGTTCGTAATGCCGTCGGGAACAACCTTGTAGTCGAGTGAGCCAAGACGTCGAACTACTCTGTATGATCCGCAGTATATCGCAGAAGTTTCTCACTGAGCCCACGTGGGCTTATCGGCGTCCATACTCAGACATGGTCCCCGGGCTGGTACGCAACAAAGCTTCGTCGAAGATTGTAACGGGGCTGTTGGTCGCCTGATAATTCTTGATGCGCAGGCAGGCGCATTGACGAGCTTCTTCCGTGCCCTGAAATTAGGCGGTGATGTGGAGGTTCTCTTCGTCAGCAACGTTTGAAAGCATAGCGTTCAGCTTCGTTGCTGGTCTCCTTCCATGGAACAACTTGTACGTTTCTTGGATGGCCATATTGTACGTGAAGTTCACGTACGCAAGGATTTCATCCCGCGTCTTGTGCTAGATGGTGGCGTACATAGCCAGAATATCAGCAATGGTCTTATTAAGGCGCTCAGTGAGGCCATTGGTCTGTGGGTGGTAGGCAGTGGTCCGGCGGTAGCTTGTGTGGCTGTGCCTCAGGATGGCCTGAGTTAGGTCTGCCATAATCAAAGAGCTAGCAAGTTTGAAAAAAAACAGGTTCAGCCGATTCAATTGTTTCAAGGCCCAGCTTCAGCGAAGTAGTGGTGGGGCTGGGAAGGGACAAAGCAGCCGGAGCCTGAAGTGCAGGTAACCCCCAGGTGCAGGACGCTCCAGCTGAAAAGCCACAGCATGTGATAATCACTTGGGATTCGAATTAAACTCGATGCGCAGAAGCAATCAAAGAGAGGGTAAGAGGTGTCTAGAGGGTTGCAGTGAGGACGTTTTTAGGACGCAAGCTGGAAGCAGTCATGAGGTAAGCGAGCGCAAAACTCAAAACTACAGCTGATAGACGAAACCTCGTGATAATTTCAGGGGTTTAAACGATGTGGTAAATGAAAATACTGCAGGACTAGTGACCACACTGGCAACAGGGATCGATGACATGCGCACCACTTCTCCTCAGGTAAAGGTAGTGATATGCACGATACCGGAGGTATCGTTGCGTGACGGCAACCTGTAAAGAGCGGTTGTCAACGCAAATCAAGAGATATGGCGGATAAGTCGAGAGAAAGGGT